AGTATTCTCACCTGATTGCAATTTTTATTCTGATTATGTAATACCTTGGTCTGACTGCATAATTATCGATGTTATAACTCTCCTGTCTGGCCAGCTAAGCCGTGAATCGTCCGCTCATTTTACCAACGGTCAGACAAATTATCAACCTACGAGAACACCATACGAATCTCACTACAGTTTTGCGTTCAATCAGATTCAATTCTCGAATGCGGTAGGACTTGATGGAATAGCAATGCAATATCTGAAGATAACTTTGCCGTTATTTATTGAACACATTAATCATATTGTCGAGCAGTTTTGAGACAACCTTCTACCACCGAAAAACCGACATGAACAGAGCTTAAAGGGTGTCCACGATGAAATTGCCACACTATGAAATTGCTCTAACTTTTTAACCGTTGGGTAGAATTTAATGAAAATTTGGGTGGATTTAGTTCATAGTGCATTATTTACATCCTGCAAGTTTTAAAGTCCTGTGATCAAAACTCGCGGAAATGGAGTCGAAAGAACAGCTCGTGCGTGATAAAATCTTGCGCATTCATCACGAGAACAAGGATCTCTCGCATCGTTCCATCGCTAAAACGTTGGGAATCGCGAATTCCACGGTGTCGCGAGTGATTAAGCGGTTCGAGGAACGGTTGACCACCGATCGGAAGCCCAGAAGTGAAGGAAATAGTATTCCGTACAACACCAAAAATCACAACCGCGTAGTTGGGGCCTTCAACCGAAATCCGAACGCCTCCGTTAGGGATGTTGCTAAGAAGCTGCACCTAAGCCGAAGTTTTGTCCAGAAGGCCAAAACTAAGGCTGGGCTTCGAACGTTCAAGGTACAAAAGGCCCCTAATCGCGACGAGAAGCAGAACAAGTCCGCCAAAACCCGTGCCAGGAAGTTGTACCTCAACATGCTGACGAAAGTTGAATGCTGCATCATGGACGACGAAACATATGTGAAGGCCGACTTCAAACAGATCCCCGGCAACCTGTTTTTCACGGCCAAGGATAAGTTCAGCGTTCCGGAGCATGTCCGCACTCAGAAGATGTCCAAATTTGCGAAGAAATTCCTGGTTTGGCAAGCCATCTGCACGTGCGGGAAGCGGAGTGCCCCTTTCGTGACCCAGGACACGATGAACGGACAGGTGTACATAAAAGAGTGCCTCCAGAAGCGGCTGCTTCCTCTCCTGAAGGCCCACAACGTCCCAACAATCTTCTGGCCGGGTTTGGCCTCATGCCACTACTCCAAGGACGTGCTGAAGTGGTATGCGGACAATAAGGTCAATTTCGTGCCGAAAATGTTCAACCCTCCCAACACTCCGGAGCTCCGCCCCATCGAGAAGTACTGGGCGATTATGAAGCAGCACCTTCTTAAACGACCTAAGGTAGTGAAGACAGTCGAGGAACTGAAGAAAGTATGGGTTTACATGCAAAAAACGGTTGATTCACAGGTTGTGCAGAATCTTATGGTCGGGGTTAAGGCCAAGGTGCGGGCATTTGCGTATGGACTGTAAATAAAATACGAGTAAAATGGTAAAATGAAGTTTAATAGTTATTTCTCAATCCCTGAAAATTTGATGGCAATCGGATGAAAAATCGAATTTTGCGAATCAATTTTGTGTGTGGCAATTTCATCGTGGACAGCCTTTAAAATTATTGACTGCCTAGGCTGAGTGTGAAAGCACTGCACTATTCAATCCATTGCCCTGTGCAGACAGTTTGTACCAAACGGTAAACGACGAGGCAATGAAAGAGCCAACAAAAACATTCAGTCACTCACGAGCAGGCGACGCACACCGCTTGCCTTCGCTCACACAGCATGTAATTGGGTTCTTTAAGGATATTGAGGTAAATTCGTAATCTGCATTAAAAATGGAACCCAAACCCAAAATTTCATCAATTTTGGCACACTGGAACTATTTTAAATAAGTACGATTACATTTGCAAAAATCACCTTATTAGCGCCCCTCGGTGTCACTTTGTATGGGAGCGAGCTGTCAGTTTGTCAGTTTAGTGTCAAACAGTGAAGTTATTATTTTGTTTTAAATCATGATTTAAAAATCGAGATGAAAGTGCGTAGGGTTGAAACAAATATCGCTGTGCTCAGAAAACGAAGCTCTTCTAGATGATATATAAAAACCGATATATTTTTCAAAATTAAAGAACCCGCACAGCAAAAAAAATGTAATATCGATCAATGTAATGCAAACTGATGTATGAAATAATGATGTAATAGCAAAAAGCGGATACAATATTACATCAATGGATGTAATTTTGTTCGCAAGATCGATGTACATCGTACAACGTTATATTACACAACCGATGGATTGACCTGGTTGCAGCAGTTTGGATGTAATATTCAACAACTTTTTTTTCTGTGCAATTGAGTCATTTTTCCATAGAAAATGTACGCTCAGTGATTCAAAACAAATATTAGGTACCATCACGGCAGAATAAACGTGTGACTGAGCTACTGACTGAGTGCTCGGCTGTCAGTGACTCGTTTACCTCTCAATCATTCAGACTCTCACGAGGCAGTGAATGATGAGGCAGATGGCAGTTCATATTCATATCAAAATGACTCGATGAACCTGACTGTTTTGCGCACTGGACATGAATGATCATACAAATTACAAAGAAATTTCTGATCAAATCACAAAACTGAGATCTGCGCCGTGTTCGCTGAAAATATTTATCCTAGACACGAACAAGCGTACAAAATTTATGAGTTGCTTCGTGTCAAATCTATTTTTATCTAGATAAAACATTTCTATGGTTTTGACAGATGGGATTGCTGCACATTTGAATCGGCCGTTATGGATTCTCGATCAAGAGTTAAATTTAAGTTTCATGTCGGTTCACCGATTTTTAGAATTCCCAAATTTTCTAACTGGTTCAAAATATAAACCAACGGCTAGCAACTAGATTTAAAAAAAAAAAATGAAAAAATTAGTTTGACCGCCCACGGTTGCTGCTCTGTTATTACCAGATCAGCTGCAATTACACAGAGAACCAAACAGATGATGTTTGGGACTAACATTCATCCTCAATGTGTAAGAACTGGAGATCTAATATTTAGCAATACCAGCGCCGGCCGTGTCCGAATGCAGGTCAACTAGGGAATGGGAAGGAATGTGTTGACGTGGTACTCGCTGTGAAGGAAACCGAGAAATCCTCTGCGCTTCCACGAGAAATCACTGGGATGTTGGATGTGGGGAAAGGTTGCACCGCACACGCAGGGATCGTTTTTTGGTAGAGCGATTATAATACACAAACACACGCGCGCGCACTCATCCAATTTCTATTTTTAGATCAGGACCCACACTGTGGTAAGTGATGCGATCGGTGTTAAAGAAGAATTTGTTTTCATTAAAATCTAGTGGGTATAGAATAAGGCAAAGTGAAAAATTGCAAGGAAGGGGACGGGCCTGGGATTGAACTCCCGACCTTCTGCTCAGTAAGCAGAAACGGTAACCACTGAGCTACCGAGCCTCGTCTCCAACGGCTAGCAACTAGATTTAAAGACCATAAAGCGGAGGTCAATAAAGCTAAAAAAAAACAAGATGGCAAAGGCTTACCGCATGATTTCAAATCAAAGGTTGCAGAACACATCTTCACCAAGAGCCAACAACTGACGACGGGAGACATAATGGTTTTACAAACCGTGTCTACACTATGGGATTTGGACGTTGCAGAGAGTCTCGAGATCAACAAACAGCGGGCTTCAACTTACTCAACTGGGATCAAGGAAACGGACACACATAGGTTTTCAAGATACTCTGGAACACAGCAACGGGTAAGCAGTGCTCCTTCTATAGAAGATTACAAATAAGTTTACATCTCATAAGTGAAGATGTACCTACACACTTAATCTAGTTCGGTAAAATCTCCAACAGCCGATTACCTCTTCATTTACTTTTGCTGATTTCTCTGCAAAATATCTATTTGTTAGCTGATATCTCAGCAACATCTTATTTGTTAGCTGATTCTCGGCAATTGATTTACTGAATTTGCTGAGATTGCAGTGGATTTTCCCTTGCAGAACTACTCGGCTGTTGGAATCTCGACGAAAAAATTTAAGTGTGTAGGTTTAATATGTATTCGGTAAGTTGCGATGGTTCTTCAGTCCAGTATTAGTACAAGACACTGAAGAAGTCTGCACATTGTAGACGAAATACGGGTATCGGTCAAATATAAGCTATTAAGGTAGAGGAATTAAAAGGAAATTACTTACCTAGGTTTAAATATAAGTAGGTTCAACCAACCTGGTTTAAAAATATTTTAGCCCATAGGCTCTCACTACTGTGTTACTGCAATCGAGTGTGTAAAACATAGAATACGACAAACAATTACCCCGCAAAGTATGCATACCGCTATTCACAAAATATGGCTTGTGCAAAATATTGCTAACAAGGAATCGATCATCGCATGCAACTTCAACTGCTCGTACACGCAGTTGAAAACATCCACAAATAATTGAAATTTTATCATTTTGGCAAAAATGGCAATTTGAATTGTATTCAAAAGTTAGTTAAAACTCTAAATTGATTGAAGTATTTCACACGGGAAACAATTGGCATGTACTTCAAATGTAAGTGTGGATTTCTCACACCCTCTGTATACGCTTTTTACAACAACTGTGAAGGTACTTTTACAACAAACTGTAGCGTACATACAATTTTTGCCAGAATGAAAATTGTTGTCTAAAATCTTAACAAGAAGATGAATCGACAAACTAGGTAACATAAGTTTTACAAAATTATTTTAAAAAAACAAAATCTATCTGCTTCCAAGCACTGCAGGTACATCTTTTTATACAAATCTGTAAAATAATCTAACATTTACGATTAAGTAAATCTACGATTTGTTGACTTAATACCACCGAAAAACCGACATGAAACTTAAACTTAACTTTTGCTCGAAAATCTAGAACGGACCATTTGTTCAGAATAGATCAGACACGAACCAACTCATAAATTGTGCAGCGTGTTCTTGGCGTAGATAAACGTTTTCCTTTAACGTGGGCACAGATGTCAGTAGTTTGCTGAGCAGAAATTTCATGGTAATAGGCTAAAAACGGGTATCTGTCGAATACAAGGATCGATGGAGGGCAAATGGTGTTTATTTCTTGTACTTGTGTGGTTTACTATTTTGAATTCTCAAGTGACACAGACGTGCCTTTTTAACTTTAATTAATTTGAATTTTTTTATAATTATTATTTAAGTTGCTAGTCCTATCAGACTTGTTGAGAGTATGATGGATGGAGGGATAGATGCTGTCTAACTTATCTCTCGGCTCTATTTTTAGATACCTATTCAACTGCCAAGCTACATACACATACACTAGGCATAACTTTTATTTTTAAATCACGTTCGATACTGTTTACTGTAACATTTCTAACTACGAACGTATCATACTTCGTCTTGTTCTTAAAACTCTTTACTATTGCCGAATAAAATAACTTACAATTAGCTTTAGTAACTCAATTACTAAGTAAGTAGTACGTGTGTTCTTCAACCCGAACATTGTCCGGAATAGTTCATGATCTCTTGGTTTTCTTACCCGTTCTCGTTTTTTTGCCCAACAAACTCGATAACCTTTTCGATATCAAAATTACCGCTGCCAAGCTTCCAACAATCATGGCACTAAACACTACAATCACATCCCACGAATAGTAAACCGCAAGCGACAATTCCCCACCGTAGGACTTCTCCAGCCTGTGCTCTCGATTTTTCATTACATTCTCAATGCACCAAACCGACAACTCAACGGGAGTCTGCGGTCTGCTTCGATATGCTTCCGAAACGGCCATGGCAGCTTTCTTCATGCTAAAAGCGATCGGTTCTGTTATGCTGATTGATTGGACAAAAAATCTACAACATCTCACCTAGATCCAAGAGCGTCCTGAATGCATTGGTAGACGTACTCGGGTTGGTTAATGCTTTCGTAATGCATCGTGACTCCTATGCCCCGATTCATCAGGGCAGCTGCATTCAGAAACTGATCTCCGTAGATGGGAGTCGTCACGACCGGTACACTGCAGTAGACAGCTTCCGACACTCCCAACAGTCCGCCGTGCGATAGAAACAGTCGAACATTCGGATGACCTGAAAACAAGCTTAGATCAATGATAAAATTTGAAAATTAAACACGATTTCTTACACAGAACATCTCGCTGAGGAAGCCACTTTCGTACGACCACATTCTTTGGCAGATCGCTCGGGTTATCATCCTCCCATTTCCACAGAACCTTCATTGGGATTCGTCGTAGGGCACTCAAAATGGCATCGCGTTTCTCCTTCGGCAGCGTCGAAGCTCTCAAAACCGATCCCCACGAAATCACTATCACACCTTCGGGTGAGTCATCCAGCCACTGCTGAAGATCCATAGGTAACGGTTTCAGGTTTCTGATGTGCACGCCACCCACTTCAACAACGGCCGGAACGAGTGGCCTCGCCCCACTCAACGTGTAATGCTGATTGACCAGCACCAAACTAGTGTTCCGAGCAATATCCCTAACATCCGGAATACCATCCCCGAACTTGGCCGCCAGCAGTCGATTATCATTCCACTCCACGATGCGGTACAACAATTTCACCGATCGTGTCACGAACCAGTTCTCGAACCGCTCCCAAAAACTCATTTGCTCCGAAAAGGTGCTAAATTCTGAAGGAATGTACGACGGACTATCCGGTTGGCCAACGCGATCGTAGTGCCAAGGCATCAGGGCACAACTGCTAAGCCCTACGAACGGCACTCGCATCACGTGACTCACTCCAAGCATGCAATCCGTCGAGAAGAATTCCGTTACAATCAGGTCGAATGGCTTCGAGCGATGCAACGCCAACACCTGGTCCAATGCGGGAGAATTCAAAGCCGAGGAACAGGTACCGAATCCCCAATCGGCAAGCTCGTAGAATTCTACAAAATTGTCCATAAACGTTCGACGCGAGAAGCCCTGTAGGAGAGGTTAAACGGATCAATCAAGTTTAAATCGCGCAATAACCAACGAGTCTTACCTCAAGATTAAATGCATTGGTCAGAATGTCCTGCCCTTGAAAGGCGTAATCTTTGTAGTTTGGATGTGGGTCGTCCAAATTCGGAAAGTAACTGACCACCGTAACATGGTGACCTGATTCGGCCAAAGCACGCATGATGGGTTGGAACACCTTGAAATGGCTCAGGCCTGGGTGGGCGAATAGGCCCAATATTCGGTAGGCAGATGAGTTGTGCAGTAAGCTGATCCATAGGACACCTACAGCGAGGCCAATCCAACCCGTACGCATCACTATAAATAAAAATACAATAACAGAGGTGTTACTCAATCGATAGAGAGCAGCAGACTGATTTAGGTACCTACTACCAGCAACGCTATGCAGTACAAATGCAGAGTCGAGCTAGTGAAGCGATTCGATGTATGGGTGAGGAAAGTGTGATAAAGCATTTTTTCGATAACGTTTGATAAGAACAGAGTGTTTGTGTGCAGAAGGTTTGTGTTTAATTTAATTCAATGTTGAATGACGGAAAGAAGAAATAATCAGAGTTGAAGTGCCATTATTTCAAGCAGCGCTCATATGTGCCTATACTTATCTACATATTCAGCTCAATTTAAAATATCTACATTACACATAATTTTTAGATTTTTACAAACTACGATTTTTCAAATTAGAGGCTTATTTTACGGTATTAGGGTGCCAATGAAAAAAAAAAAATATTGAAACCGACCATATACAAAATGTTAGTCGGCGCCGGTGGTGTAGTGGTAAGCGTGACTGCTTTCTCACCCCAATGGGTCTGGGTTCAATCCCAGCCGAGGTCGGTGGAATTTTTCTGGGACATAAAAATCTCTGGTCACGTCTTCCTTCAGAAGGGAAGTAAAGCCGTTGGTCCCGGCCCATGTGTGTTGTGAATGGGTGCGATATCCTACGCAGGTGTTGAAGCTACCTTCCTTGCACATTCGATTGCCGTCAATTGATGGCAAATCGATGCCCGTCTGTGATTGGCACTAGATTGCGGAACAGAGACCGACGTTAAATAAATGAAAGAACAAAGATGATAAAAAATGCGCAGTTCCCTGAAAAAAGACCCTTGAGTTAAATCGGACATTATTTGGGATGGCAAAAAATCGTCAAAGTTTGAACTTTTTCATCGGAAAAATCTCCAAAAGAATAGGAGTGGGGATGTGGGGCAGTTCGGCAAACTTAAAATACCAAATTCATTGAAAACAATCGATGAGTTTTAATCAAATTGATAGTGTTAAACCATATTTACGTCACAATACAAATTGAATATTAAAAGTCAAGTTTTGAATCTAATGAAAGATGAAATGACGGCTTCGGGAATACCTTAAAACCTATAATCGCCAGGGGGTAAACAACGTCCTTGAGCGCTCAATTTTGGCATTTGGATACATCGTGTTTCAGAGCATCTGTTGGCGGTTGGTTTTAAGGTATTCCCGAAGCCGACATTTCGTCTATCACCTTCAGCTATTTGTGTTCTTGCAGTATAAATTCTGAGTATACAAAACACCCTTACATTATGAGATTCTATTTAATAAAAGTGGCCTAGCTTTTCTGAGACATTCTTTTTAACATTTGTGCATTTTCATTTGAAATGAAATTAACTTGAAAATGATTAACATCCAAATCCGCATAAAAAATAAGGTGTACAGAGCGAATAACCATGCAATTAAATTAAATTAAAATTTTGAAGAACAGGAATTCTGCGAAGTATTCTAACGATATTCCGGTGATAATTTTTGGAAAATTCAGAATTTTGATTGTGATTGTGTAGTATAGAAGGGGGTCAAGGGCCAGGTCTCCGATACTTTATGCACCTTAAATGCTATACCAGTAGACATGGAGTGTCACAGCATCTTTACCAGCAGGTTAAATAAGTTCTGTGTAATCCACGAATGTGAAACAGGGCGAGCCATAGTAACATCACCGGTAGGATAACGTATCGGCAAGACCCCATCTCAACATTAATGTATTAGCTGCCATAAGGGAAGAGACAAGGGAGGGATGGTTTGTGTCGATTCATAAATAGCTGTAACTTAAGGTGGTTAATTCGAGTATAAGTAAAATTATAGGTAAAATTCGTAAGAAATTACCTGATTGTTTATGATGCCTGACTTTACTGTGATGTTGTTGTTGGCGCTCTTGATGACGCCGCCCTCTATACTACCCACAAAAACATTATAATTATTGTCCCATCTTTGCTTAATTTGCTATTCATATCGGACAGTTATGCTTTTATGGGCAGTATAAGTCTGACGATGAGTCTGATGAAAATCCCAGCATGGCGTTTATTTCCTCATCAGGGAATCCCTCGAATTTCGTTGGGTAAAGGTCATCGCTGCTGCTATTGTCTGATACTGTTCCATCGCTCGCTTCGTACACAGATTCAACCATTGTAGTGGCGTTGTAGATGGCATTTTCCTCTCTTTCCAGAAATTCAAGGAATGGGCCGATCTCTTGATATCCTGTTTCACACTAGTTTTCCAGGTGTTATACGGCGACCAACTTTTTTCTTCACTGTGATTTATAATCGTTGTCTTCTTTAAAACTTCATCGTCTTGATCTAAAGAAAAGAAAATCGCCACTCCATCAAGCCAAATTCAAAGGTAGTACCTGTGTGATGTGTCGCATTCCAAAAGTGTTGAACCAAATGAATAATAAAAAAAATCTTTTTATTTTTGCAGCCATTAGACTCAAATTTAGAAAGAAAAAAAAAATCATTGTTAAAATCATAAATCTAAACTACACAATTATTCAATTTTGGTTGTAGTTAAATCACCGACAAACCGACATGAATGACCATACCAAAGACAATGCAATTCCTGACCAAAGCACACTACTGACATCTGACTCCGTGTTTACGGGAAATATTTAATTAAGCCGGGCTCATGGCATGCAAAAGTTATGAATTGGTTCGTGTCTGGCCTATTCTGGACAAATGATTTTTATCTAGATCAAAAAATCCTATAGTTTTGACAGTTAAGATCACTGCACATTTAAAACGGCCGTTTACGATTTTCGGGCATAAGTCAGAATTAAGTGTCATGTCGGTTTGTCGGTGGTTAAATTCCAACAAACTTTTGGTCCGCTAAATCACAACTGGCATCACTAGTGTGCATCTTTCAAAATGTAAAGATACAGATAAGCCCTGGGACCTGGTTGCAGGTAAGCAATCCTCATGGTTATGCCAATGCTCAGGGATAGTTTTTAGAAAATTCAGAAGCGATATAATTATTTGGAAATTAGGTATGAGGAGCAATTCAAAGAATTATTGGGAATGTTAATTTCCACGGTAATTTCAGGAGAATACGAAGTGCATGCTGAGGAGAACTCCAAGTGGTTTTTCAGGAGTAATTTTCGGAGAATTGCGAGAATGATTAATAATATGAAGAGCATTGCAGAGATTAATAATATGATGAATGTACAGTGGAATACCTGTATAATGAGAGAACGAAGGATTAGTAATTTCCATTTAATTCCACTACCTTACTTGCTTATCCTTGACAGATACGCGTATTTCGTCTACAATGTGCAGACTTCTTCAGTGTCTTGTACTAATACTCGACTATTAGTATTATATGGTGGTTTCATCAAGATAGCGCTATAACATGTTATAACTCTGTAGTCTGAACGTACTATTAGATAAGAAAGTTATATCACAGACAAATAGACATAACACATTGGATATTACTCACTGTAAAACATCTTCGCCAAAACATTTCCGCCATCTGTTGAGTACACTGTGGTGGGCAGTACACTGAACAGATGGCAACTATGCGCACCACAGGTGGCAGTTCTACCAACTAAGATACTTTTAAAATGACCGTTAAATCACAGACAAACAGACGTAACTCTTTGAATAAAATTTCCGTCCAAACATAGTACTGCTAAACATAGGACTGCAGTAACGACATATCGCGGGCTTCTCGCGGAAAACAAGCTTGCTCGCTGATTCGCAAACAATGCTGCATGCAAGAAACACCGTATATATAGAAACGTCAAAGTGATCCGATGATAGCACTGAGGCGAGTAGTTCGCGGAAACGATAACATTCAAACCAATCGTTAAATGCGCAAACGTTGATCCAGAATGAAGAGCTACGACTGTTTGTCTGTGGTTAAATGCTTGTTCGATGAACAACTTGCGAGTGTTATGTCTGCTTGTCTTTGGTTAAATGAATCTTAATATAGAAAAAAAACTTCATGGTTTAGGTTGTTTTATTAACGGCGCCGGTGGTGTAGTGGTAAGCGAGATTACCTCTCACCCCAGCAGGCCTGGGTTCAATCCCAGTTGACGCCGCCGGGATGTTCTGAGGCATAACATCTCTGATCACGCCTTCCTTCGGAAGGGAAGTAAAGTCGTTGGTCCCCGGTTCATCAGTTGATGGGTCGATAGGTAGGGTCCAGGTGTGGGAGCTGCCTCCCTGGCGTCGGTAGCATTGGTGGTCAGCACGGAAAACAAGATCGACGGAAAACAAATCAAAGGAAAAAAAGGTTGTTTTATTAAAAATTAAATATTCCGGACATGAAAGGGAAATTAGGGAGAAGATTTGGGGACGAGACAAGTTTTCATGTTGAAAAACTAGTTAAAATATTTGAAATACCGAACTTTGAAATTTAAGGTTCAGTAAGGAAATTAATCAAATTGCATTTAATTCTGGGGTTTTAACACTTTGAAAAGTTTCTTGTTCTTGGACTTGGAGTTCGAAACTTTAAGGCTTTGATATTGTATGAGATCCTAGACTCAAGTTTTGACTCAAGTAAATGTTAAACTTCAATGTTTAATGGTTTTGATTGTAAAAATTAAGCGGTCTCTGCAAGCTAGTTACAAGAGAACAATAGCAGAACTCTTGAAGAATACCGCTTCATCTTCCCAGACCACTCCAAAAAGCAGTAATAGGGGAAATGGCTATAATGTTGGCCTATGGATCTAAGATTCGGCCCATCGCTAAAAGTCTGCTATTTATCAATTTTATCTAGATGAGCGCGTCATTATGACGGTACTAATGGATATTTTTGGTCGCTATTGAAAATTTAGTCGATTGCTGAATTTACGTATGGGCCCATATTAGGAACATGTAGGCCGACATTACCTACATTTCCCCTGGTAATACCATAGAGGTAACTCTAAGACCAGCAGGTTCCGAAGAAACGTGCTCAACATTTTGGCTAAGCTCTGGTACTATCTTCGGTCCCAAGCTAATCGATGAACCCCTCGAAACATAGGAAAATCCACGAACCCCTCATTTTATCTGTCAAACTTTCATAGCGAATCAAAACAAACATAGTGTAG